GTGTGTTGTGTGTCTGTAGGTGTGTGTTGTGTGTCTGTTGTGTGTCTGTAGCCGTGTGTTGGTCATGAAGGTCACGCGGCCTTCAGAGCTTCAGTGAAGTGAGAACCGTTGAACCTTTCAAGCTGCGTCATTCTACACTCCTCAATAAAACGTGCATTTATTTACTCGCCGGCTCGTTTACGGGCTTGTTTACTCATAAAACCATTAGCGGTTCAGCCTATTGACAAATTCCTCTGGCTTCATGATTCTCAGACGGCAATTTAAGGAAACGAGACGCACTAACTGCTTTCTCAACGTCAAAACCGACATTTATGAGATGAAATCGCGATCATAGAGGCTCCTGATTACTGAAGTTGTTTTTTCCAGGTGTTCGCTAGTAAAGCTGGAGGCAAAAACAACTGTTGCTCTACAGTGAACTATAACGATTCAATAAATACACCGTGGCTGCTCTTAAAGGTGTGCTAATAGATTATCGAACTAAAAAAATCATTTCAGATGTCGTAAAAATGTAATAAAGGAATTCAAGGTCCAAAATTAGACATTAAATGCACGTCTGTCACAAATGCAAATAAAGATGCTCCCAGGAAGAGGAAGTCATTGTTCTAATGATTTAAAAACCGTATTTGTGAGTTGAAATAAGTCGTAAAAAAGAAAAAAATACACCTAAAGCAAATTTGTCCGAGCTATTATAACCAATGAGGAACAGATCATCTTCTGTAGGTGCTTCTTTTTTTTTCTTAATGGTTTCAATCTTGATGAAAAACTTCCACAACAACAGGAGCTGAATAGTCCTTTAACCAGACACTTCACCTCAGCGGCTTCACTCCGGCAGCTCACGGCCGCTGGCTTTTTTTTTTTTTTGCTCTTTCTTCGATGTGAAATGAATGCATCTGATGGGAAAAACGAGCAAAAGCAACCTGTTGAACCGACATCAGCGCTCAGTAAAGGCCAAAGCGTTCACTTCAGAGCCAAACAAAAGATCACGCAGGGAGAAATTCATCATAAAGACGCCAGAAATACTCGTTTTCCAGACCAGCAGAAGCCTTGACAGACCCGAGTGTGGTTGTTTAAGTGTGCTGTAAAGTCGTCTGGAGAACGTAAGAACGTAGGAAACAAACAGCTTCATTTACTGAACTCTCCCTGATAACATCCTGCTTTGTGATTTTAACGAGCAGATCAGATGCAACGGCGGTAAAACAGGAATTTCCCTTCGCTTCAGAAGACGCTGCGCTGAAGGAAGAGCAGTCAGGCGCTGCAGAGAAAGTCCAGTGGAAGATAAAAATACTTCACAGTCAATCCGTCCATCAGCACTTGGAGCAGAATTTTCCCAGGCAACGATACGGATGTTCTGCCAGCGTCGGCTAAATACGCATCACGAGGTCAGACCATGTCCAGGCAGCTCAGCGCCGCACGAAAAAGCAAACCTTCCCCACTTTAAAACACCTTTTATACACGTATTTATGTCGATTTTACTCAGGAGTTAGTTGTGAAAAAGATCACAGCGACACTAAAGGTAGACCGAATGAATTAAAATCAACCATAAAACACTTTGTAGTTGTATTACATAGCAGGTCGACTACATGCTTAATGGTAGAGTTTGTCATGGAAGACTCTTGCAGGACACTAGAAGCACTTCCTGTTGTGTTTGTTGTCTGTTCACATGAGTGGAAGTTAAGAAAAATGACTTTCTTTACATTAAAACCCAACAAAAGCATATTTGTTTTTTCATAAATGGCCAAAACTACACCATTTGTCAGACCCAGAAACAGTAAAAACACAAGAAACGTCCAATGATCTCTGAACTATGGATCTCTAACATG